CTCGTCTTTCCCTTTCTTTTGGGGGAAGCTGGGGTTCTGTGGCAGTTACTTTAGGAGGAGGTGGAGAAGCCTTGGCTTCAGTTTTTGGCTTCTCAGCTTTCTTTACTTCTGCAGCAGCAGATTCAACTTTCTGTTTTGGTTGCTCCACCTTTTTCTCAGGAGTAGCTTTTTCGGCGGGCTTCTCAGACGGAGCAACGTGAGTTACACCATCACCAGATTTTGAAATCACAGCAATTTTAGTGCCAGGTTCTACAGTATCCCCTTCCTTGGCTACGAACTATTGCAAATCACATAAAGTATCAGGATTAAGCAATTCGGAAAGAAGCAAGAAAGCATAAAAATAAAAATAATGAACCATAATTAACTATTCCAAAACCCTTGATTGTTTACCTTTTGGATTACGCCTGCTTCAGGACTAGCAACATCAATTGTCACCTAATGGAAACAAAGAAAATTGAAACATTCACTCCATTTAGAACTACAAACATTTTAAAGCAACAAGTAAGAACTAAACTATGGAAAGTACCTTGTCTGTTTCAATCTGAGCAATAGGCTCATCAACTTCTACTTTGTCACCAGGTTCTGGGGAACAAAATTGTATGATCCATCAGAGGAACCGAGAAAGCAAAACCAGAAATACATTGAGGGCAGTAATGAAATTGAGAACCAAAACTGTCTTTAATAAAGGCATAATTGGAATATCGATTTAAGGGAAGCATACTCTTCAAGAGCGTTGCCAATGTGCCATCGGATATTGATTCCCCCATAAAAGGAACAACAGCATCAACCAGATCACCTTGAGCATAGGAGGTGGCAAAGAGAAAGAATAAAAACATTAGTTAGCAAATGAAAGCCATTACATGAATCCACATCCATATTAAGATTCCACACCTATTGCTTCATTGAAATTGAAATTATACTAAATATATCAGTATGAAAATACTGGACTTGGCCACTAGAAATAATAAATGAAAACTATACTAACAGGTTGTCAGAACTGTACGCAATTCACTTAAAAAGCTTTAGAAGTTTTTGGTTTCCATTAAAGGCTGGGTTACGGTGTAAAACCAATCAAACTTACAACACATCTAGAAGTAGACAGGAAAACAACATTTATAAACCATCAAAAGTACGGGCACGTGACAGAAACTACTAAAGGAAGGGTTCAAAATTTTCCTATAAAAGTGCCTAAAATCTTCCAAGAGCATCAAATTCAGAACTGTCATTTTTCAAATACAACTGTATTGCCAGAAAAGCAAAGAATGGAAAACAAAGTGCCGTGCTATACCACTATTAGAACAAAATGGCCTTTTCCATGTATGCATGGTGAATTGAGGCAGAAAATTGTCTTTGATTCCCCTGCAAATAAAACAGCCAACCATGAATGATAGCATTATCTGCCAACTATACCGTCTGACTTAATGTGAGTTTATATACCTTGGATTTTTTGAAGCTAGCTATTCCACATACCAAAAACATCTATTGTATAAGTCCAAGTGTTATTACCCTTGCGGGAGTCTAATCACAAAAACACAATTTACAGACAAACTTTTCTTTGGTTTATACCACGGGTTAGGTAAAATCAAACCAGATTGAACGACTCTGGGTGGAACTGTCTCAGTCACCTTGAATAAGGCCAGCTAACACAATGCCAAATAATGCTGTATCAAACTAAATATGAAAAGCACTCCCAATACTCATAGTAATTACATCTCTTACCACTGACAGAAAACCACATGAAATGCAGTACCTAATTGAACTTATTTTACAAAGCAGAATTTGGTTTACAATTAAATCCACTATGCCTTGCCCACATTGGAAATAGTTGTGCAAAATGATAATTAAAAGATAGAGTACTGTGCTAAGCTCTTAAATAATGACTTTTCTTGGAGTGATAATGTCCTCTGAACAAGAATATTAAAATTCAAAACATTCTAGTAAAGAAAGTGCAGTGAACTGTAATCGCGAAAAGATTGGAAGATCTGGCCAAAGAAGGTGACAGCCCGGTAGATTCGTTCCCATGGGTCGATCCTTCCCAGTAAAACGCGGCGTGTTCGAATTCTGATTGCTTTTATGTCAGAAAGGGGGACCACCCTCTCTAAGCCTAAGTATTCCTCAATGACCGATAGCGTACAAGTTAATAGCAATTATCAAGAGGAGATTAAACAAGAAAAGATATCACTGACCTTGACGATGTCAAGTCCAAAGATCCTATACCGAAAGAAAATAGAAAATAGTTCAAACACAGACAGGATGGAGGGGGCCAAAAAGGAAAAAACACACACACACGTGGCATTGACTAACATAGACACCCAAGATTACCAGAGAAAGTGAAGTCAGAGAAACTGCGAGTGCATCCTGGGTGCAAGAAGATCTGTTCAGAAAGCAAAAACAAACAGTTAAGAACAATTGCACATGAAGAACTAACAGCAAACATAAGCTTTGATGGCCAAACGTAGAAAGAGAAACAAAAAGGAAGAAAACAACTGAAACTGAAACTTCAAGAGACAGAAACGGTAAATAATATTATTTGATCATAAACTCGTAGTTGAATAACATCTTAGAGACACAGTAAATACATGTTCTCAATACTGCTTTTGAGAATTGTAACCTAACCGAACTCCAGACAAAACTAAAACTGGATAGCAAAGCAATGTCACATATGCTATCTTCACAAGCCAACACCAGAAAATGGAACAGAGTTTTCTGAGTTTCCAAGAAAGACAGCCACCTCAACTCAACCTCTATAACTTAACTCTTACCCAATTTCCATATAATTCCCCAGCTTGTTAAACTATGCAGTAAATTCTGTACTATACAAGGCTAAATCACATTTAACTAATCTAAACTCGTCTTAATGAGTTAGAAACGTTTTCTTATCTTGACTAATAAAATGATTTTATTTGCCTAGAAAAGAAAAACTAATCTAAACTCAAGCAATTTTAACCAAACCTCAATGAAATTACAACATTACATCCTTGAAAAGTATAAACAACTTGTTTGTCTACAATATCATTTTCATATCAGGAACATCATTTGATTCACCATGCCTCTTCGCACGTCAAACTATTATCACCACTAAGCAGTATCAACGCTGAATTGGAAAAGAAAGCAGCGAGTTACCTCTTCAGCTACAGCAGTAGAAACTCTAGGCGTAGAAACCACAGGCCGACTCCAATGCCATGATTTCCTTTTAATCTGGCCCGCAAACACAAAGGAGATCGGTATTCTTACAAAAACACAACTAAATTTTACTATAAAAAATAAATCTGCCTTCATGCACATATGAATGCATATCTAAACACACATGCAAAACTTGAAGTTTAAATACCAAAGCAGAAGAAGCATCAGAAGCCACTTTTCGCCTTACAACGCCCAGCATCATTGACTTTGATCTCCTAAGGCTGTTTTAGACAATTTAAAATACCGAAATTCATCAATCTTAAGAAAACAAATTTAAAAACAATAATCAAAATTATGAACAAGGCAAATCGCAGAGTAAATAAACCAATAAGCAAAATGATTGCGATCTGCTAAGGAAATTTAGAAGAAAAAACAAAAACATTTCGCAAATTAATATCCAACTTTCCAGAGCAAAGTCCATATTCCTTTGTTCACTTTCTTCTCTTTTTTTTTTTTTTGTAAATAATAGGAAATACCTCGACGAAGACAATGAACAGAAAAGGCTAACAAACGACGGCGAACTGATATAAACAGCGTAAGCTAACAAAAATCCGGAGCTTCTGGTTCGTTATTCTTGTATAGGCTTGACGGCGGCGTTTTTGCACCCTTTGGTGGTCGTCCTCCTCTCTTTCCCTTCTGCAATATTCTGTTCCTTCTGTTACTCAACCTTCTCTCATTTTTTTTGCCCTTTTAGCTTTTTCTTTTGGTAATTGATATACAGGCCGACGATTATTATTTTTTGCCGAGATTGTGGCTCTTCCAAGTCAGAAGTCAAATTGTGACTTTCATAACGTGGCATAATATGAGTTGTCGGAAGTGAAATAATTGTTCCTGGTCTAGCAGCCTTTATATTTTTCATTAAAAAAGAAAATATTATTTGCATCTCCATTTTTATTAACCACACTTTCATTACCATTTTAATCATATAATTTTTTTTATAAAATTATATAATAAAATAAATAATGGGAGTATAAATAGCACAATGGAGTGCAAATAACAATTTTTTAAAAAAAAAATTTCTTCAGAAGGATTTTATTGAGAGAATTCTCTGATTTCAACTTTTGTCTTTTTTTTTTTGTTTGTTTATGAGGTTATCCACGATTTTATTGTAATAATATTCATTCATATAGCTTCTGCAAAGGCAATTTCATAATGAGGAGAATTTAACAGTCTAATGAAGTATTTCACTATTAAGTGTGATGGCCGATGGGTCTTGGTGACATGTTTAATTATTTTTAATTGAGATCTAGTAAGACATTAGGAGATGGTAATGCATGAAATTTGCAGAGAAAATCTGATCTTATCAATAATAATTAAAAAAAAAAAAAAAAGCCTCATATGATGACTCATAGTTCTGGGCCCTTAAATACATTCATGATGGGGCATGGGCTGCTACATTTGTGTTGTTTTTTGTCTTGTCACTTGGAAGACAGTTTTCTCCGGCCAATGACAATGAATTCGAAATAATGGGATATTTAGGGTCCGTGATGTACCCAGACAAACAACAAGCAAGGCCCCAATTGGCCATTTGAGTGTAGCCTAGTGGGCCACGAGCCAACCAGGGTTACAATACCACTAACCAACAGGACCATCTATTTGGAACATTTGGCATGGTGAAATTCTTGGACTTCTGAAAGGTTTTTGCAAGAGATATTGAACCAATCTGCAATATACATTTTGGAGTTTAATTGAGCAGCATGCATTAACAATTTACCAGTAGACACATGGGCTGACAAAAATTAGACCAGCATATCCGGTGTGTACGTTCAGCACAAAGTTCTGGTAAAAGTTATTGGTACCATATAATTACATAGAATACCATCATTATTTGCACCTGACACAAAATTTCGTGAAAGTAATTAGAACAATATCTCAAACTCCCTAGTGAGTGTGGTCCACCTCCTATAGAAAGGAACGTGTGATTATCCATTGCTCCCTTCAAGTCATCTACGTTCACTCGTTCAATTTGAACCGGAAGCTTGCAAGATGAATGGCATCGGCTCTCAGTGCCCTTCCATTTCTATATTTCCATACAATGACTTGAAGCCCCCGATCAGCTCAACTAAGCTGCTGTGGCTCTCCAAATTCAGTAAAAATGAACCTGCTACTTGTGGGTTTCTCTGTATGCATAAGCGGAACAGAGTATTTTGGTTTCCGACCAGAGTTACCTCCGCTCCTCTTTTTCTAGCCGCCACTTTGCCGCCGCCCAATTCAGGAGACTTCTCAGTCCTGTTTCAAACAAGGTCTATTTCTTCCTAACTAACTCCCATTTTGAGATGGAATTCATCCTTCTCTCGATCTCATAAAAGTTCTCCAGGTCGATACATGCCATCATACTCTATTGGTAATAGTTACGAGTTAATGCTTGAACAATTTTAGGACTTGAAGCAAAGACATCTTTTGATGCCCATATTGACAGTATCAGTTTGTCACTGGGGAGGCCAGTTAACAAACTTCAAATATGTTAGTAACATTGCTTCCATGGCATAACCTTTTTTACGTGGCTAACAGTGCAGTGATGCTTTTGATGTACTGGATTGCAAATTTCGTTGTGCCAGGGTGGGTTCTAAAAGATCTTGAAGTTGACAAAACAAATGACGAGAGGAAGCGAGACAAAGAAAATTCTTCAGACAACCGGTAAGGGAGTTCTGGCCAGAAAAGAAGCGGCTTTTACGGCACGATGCAATGACAGCAGAGGATGTTAAGAGATTTATCCATTCTTGTTTCGTCAGCAGTTGACATTCTTGCATCTAAGACATTGGAACTTGTTAGTTTACGTATTATCCTTCTTTGTGGAACAAAATCTCTTTGCCAGTCCTCTTGATCAACGGAGCTCCTCCCAAAAGATGCTATCGGAGTAGATGTTTGCAATGTCTGTTTTCTGCGAAAAATTTGTCATATCTAACTCCTACGTTTTCCATTTCTAATCCCTTGAAAAAATCAGTAAAGATGGCATCTGGGCATTGCTTTTAGCCAATTCCCAAAAATATATACAATTTACACAATTGTCCAGTCATTATCTACAGAACCAGCAGCTTTGTCAGCTGACGATCCATTACTTGGCTTAGGAGGCTTCTTTGAGAATATTGATGAGAATGGTTGGCGGGTTGGGTTATCCTCCATATTCTTCTTGTCTTTTTGTGACTGCCTATCTTTGCTACCAAAGATGAAGTTAAGCCTTTTGAACTGGTTTTTCAGTTCACCCGCAGGTGTTGTTTCTTCGGGTGGAACTGTACTTTTTGTAGCTTCATGTGGATTTAGCAACATTGCCTCGACTGTTTCATACACCTGCAAAGGAGATTTGACGAGTAGGAATATTAGTAGGTGAATATGCAATCCTGTGAATAATGTATGCTAATCTAAGGATAATCCACTCTCTAAGTCTGACTATATTCATGTTAAGCATGGTCAACATGCAGATCCGTCTCCTTATTGCAGCTTTTAGCTTAACAAGTCAAGAATAGAAAAACTATAATCAGCTGATCTTAAGCTGTTGACAAGAAGATCAGTTCCATCTATTATTCCAATATGGCCAATACCATTTGTGCTACTGCCAATGTAACAGAACAAAAAGCAACAGAAGCTTCTATTTTTATTTTCCCTTTCAAGTTTCTTTTTCTTTAACTTCACGAAGTGTAGGGAAAATGGTCATCATGCTGCAGGACAAGAGTCAGTTCGACGACATTTTGAAGAAGTTCAGCCCCCCTGGGAAATGAATATTGCTGTATTGAAAGCAGTAAACAAGTGGAGGAAATAATGAAGTCCCAATTCTGAAACCCTACGTATTTAACAGGCAAGAGAGAATTCTGGAATACCATATCAAATTGTTAGCAAATATAAATCAGTCAATAACCACACAGTTCCTCGTTCAGCTAAATATGACATACCTGGCATATATCATCAATTTTTTCAAGCCAGCTGCCGCTTTGACAAGTGGCAACAATATAGTCCTTGCATTCATTAAATAGCTTTGACAGATCTAAATTTGTTGAGAGGGTAGACTCAGCGATTACAAGCCCTGAACCCAGCTGACAAACTTAGATCATCAGTGCCAGTTTGTACCAAGCATGAAATCTTAACAGTATTGCGGACTGGAACAGCTGAACATATTAATTCCAGCCAAATGGTTTGGTAATTCCCAAATCCAAGTACATAATACTTACAAGAGAAATAAACAGCTGTTCAAAAAGCTCAGAAGGTGAGATGTCCTCCAAGATATTAAGAATACCTTCCCTACACAGCAATGGGAGCAGAAAATCATCAGAAAATAATGTCTTTGTACAGTAAGATTGTTTATGTCTTGCAACTTACACAGCAAGATCCTCGTCAAAGAGGGGAGTCTGTCTCATTGCAGGTATTGGTTTTGCAGTTTCCCACAGTTCCCGCCATAAATTACCTAGATGTAAATCAACAGCCATTCTATCAGTCAGCTAATTCCACCATAATTAGCACAAGAGTCAATAAATTGGTGAATACAGATGAATATCAAGCTAAGAACACCCAGAATAACAAACAAGTGACTAATCTATTTTAATATTTTTCACATAAGAAACATAAAATTGTGCAAATCACATTTGATTTCCTAAACAAGACATACCAGAAAGAGAACAAAAGAGGCAAATGATCTGCTGGAATTAAAACCAGTTGTTTTCTCTCTTTCATGTTTGGCTTTGCTCCTTTCAGGTAAAATAGTTGATATCCAATTAGTTATGACAATGTTCCAGGTTAACTAATGTAACAAAAGAAGTAACCTTCTTTTTGCATCCTCCTACTAAGTTGACCTCTCGTTGACAACAAATCACCACCATCAGATGTTTCATCAGCTTCATCGTTAATGTCACCTTCCATCCAATCGGGGGGTGAATGCCACCTTACGAAATCTTCTAATATACAACCTGGATTTGCTGCCTAACAGAAAACATTGGAGCTTAGGTGTGTGAATCATAATGTGCAAATTTCTCACAATGCTGTTCGACAAAAATAAATAAAACAAAAAAATCCACAAATTTCTGCTATAGTAAAAGGCCCCAGAAGAATCTTGAAAAGACAGTTATTTACTGCAGAGGGTCACCTTGAAAGCCTGCATGTCAGACAGAAGTTGCGAACAACCAGCACCAACACTGAACACAACAGGACAACGCAGCATGTCACACTGTGCCTTAAATTACAAAAATTCAAGATACAGTTGATGCATATAAATCACAGTAATTCCAAATTTTCACCTATCTGTTAAATTTCTAAAGAATATGCAAGTAAACAACACAAAAAAGCTACAGCATGGACAAAGGTTGAAGAGTATAATGACTCAGGTGATATTGAAGTTATAGCCACAATTATAGCAGTCCGTACATAGAAAAAACTATTCCACCACAACAAATTCCCAAGCCTAACATATCCATACCAATTAATGTGGAAAAAAAATGCGTTCCCTTCAATGTTTCCAAACCATAAAGCATACATATATCATGGAAACTAATCGTCTCCTTGAAGAACTAAAATAAAATGGGAGACGAAATCTAGGGATGTCAGTATATGAGAGACATGCAATAGAAAAACCTTCACATTCTTCAAATAAATCCCCAATAGTTCAATTATAAGCATCACCATGCTCCTGCTATGTGTGAATGATGAAAAAATAGTCAAGTAACACGAGAAGTAATGGGCAATCCCTACCAAACTAAAGAGAGGTGGAAGCAAATGGAGGAAGGTTCCTTACCCCTGCAAGGCAGATTTTCACAAGGTTCAAGAATGGGAGGTTCAATTATTTCTAATATTTTGAAATGCTTATTAACCTTTGCTTCATTTCCAGTGTCAAGAGAAAGATAAGATTCTTAAGCACGCATGACCCTTTTTTTCTTTTTTTTGCTTCCACTTTTTGGCTTACAAAAAGGGGTCCTTGGAAAGATACCATTTTGAACATGACCTGTCAATGACCCCATTTAAGTGGATTTAAAAATTTCTTACCCTCAATGCCTGCATTATTCTCCAGTCCTTCAACCAACAGTAGTCTTTCACCCAGGATATTTTCACAAACTAATCATTGCATACCATAGTCCACAACACATAATATTTAATCCGACTTACGGTTCCAAGAATAGGGTAAACACCAGCCTGATTTCTCAGGAAACTGGATGAAGTCTACCTTGTGTCTGTTAAGCCATCTAAAGAAGCAGAGAAAGCATAGAATTCATGTGATTCGTCAAACCATTCTTTCAACCCAAGATATTCTTCTTTGCTCCAAAAAAATAAATATTCTGATTATAATTATAGTCCAAGTAATTAACTCCCTCTCCAGGATAGTTTTTGGAACAAGGCAATTGGCTTCACATTTCAACAAGGGAACACAGACATTAAGAGATTGGCCACTTAGATTTAGGAGTAATAAAAAAAACTGGAAGATTCACTGAGCATTCATAATTCAGCACAATTGGGTTGGCAAAGAGATACACTATCAGGTATACAGATTTGAGCACTTTCAGTATACTACATTTAGCATAAAAAATAACAATATTGATCAATTGACAGACTTCACCATAATTACTCACATAGAACTTATACATTTATCATACTTCAGCTCTTACAATGTTATACTACCCATCACCAGCATTTCTCCAATTCTTTTACTATAAGCTGCCCCTATTGGTGCTTTCAATTTTTACATAGAAAGCCATTCTCCCATTTCTAAAACTCCACGATGTACCAAAAATTTCAGCAAAAATGTGACTAGGTTACGACAAATCTAAGTAAAGAGACATTGTAATTCAGAAATCAAAACCAATCTTGCGGTCAAGGGGAAAAAAAAGAGCAGGAAAAAAATGCTGAATTAGTCGACCAACCTTCCAGTTCGCAGCACAAACTCTTCTGTTTCTTTGATAAGATCTTCCGTTAGCAAAGGTGCCTCCTACATATGCATGCATACAAACTCAGTGAAAGGTTAGAGTTTCTAGAAGACAGTAATGAAAACTCTAAGCATCAGATATCAACAGAACCTGGGTGACAGGTGTAAAAACAGGTTCACCAGTTTCCAGCATTGTCAAGTTATCAAATTTTTTATCAGCCCCTAATCGAAGAACAAGTTCCTCAGTGCTAGTTCTTGCATATAAGACAGAATTTAAAGCATTTAAGCTTTCAGAATCAGAAGACTTGTCGATAGTTGGGCTAGCTTGTCTTAAGACTGAATCTAATGATTCAGTTGCAATAGCACGACGTCTTTTTCTGGAAATACAACAGTTGATGACCTGTAACTGCTGATACAAAAGACATGAATTCAAGTCTGGGACTTCATCTGGTGGAATGCCAGGAATATACTGCCCTTCAGACCAAAGTCTTCTAAGCTGCATAACAAATAAAATATATATTGCTCAGTTAATTGAGAATGTACTCAGGAACTGTATCAATAATTTCCAAAAGTCAATGAGGTTTCATGCAGTAATGCAGTAAGGATCACTTCTCAAGAAACAAAGGCATTTGAGAAATAAAGTCAAAAGGTCATAAATTACTTCTTGCTGAACCACAAAAAGAAGTGTGCTGTGCAAAATCACCATGGTAATTTGTATTTGATAACAATAACTGATAATCACTTGATTGAACAGATCTAAAAGCTTAAAAAAGGAACTCCATCAACTGGGGAGCATAACTAACCACAACTCAAACTTGATTTTAAATGCAAGAAAATAAAAGGTCAACACTTATTACTAGAGGAGGGAATATTTGGAGTCCACATCAAGCAAAGGTCGTCATGTATGTAAGCTTTAAGATGATCAACTAAGCAGTAGAGGGGGAGGGGGGGGGAGGGAGTAAAACTAGGCAGTAAAAACCCTCTCGGGTTCAAACCCTTCGCTTACCAAAAAAAAAAACTAGGCAGTAAAAACCAATCATGGTTGACACCCTTTAAAAGACAGTTTAACTCCATCGCCTTGTTCCTCAAGGAGGAGGAACGTCAATGATTTGTTGAATTGCCTCATAAAATGACTGTAGAAGAGTGACCATCTTAACTGTGATGCGAGAAGGATTTTTTCATGTCAATCAACTACAACTTTGAAACTAAGTAAAAAACTCAACTTGTACTAAAAGTCGTTATACAAAACATAATGTCAGAATTATTTCATGTTATTCAGGCAAACAGTAGACGCGTAGGGGCCACAACTTCAAAGAAAAGAGCGTTTAGCACACAATAAAAGAGGGCTTAAAAGGTCGGCAATAACGTAATCCATGTCAGGATGTACACATTAGTTCAAGCTTGGGCTCTGCTCATTCTCGCGTGGTAGCATTTAGATAAGGGTGTCACTACGACAGGAGCTGTAGCAACATGTCAAGCATGTCCTTCGATGCAGGAAAAGCCAAAAAAGAAATAGACAGAGAATTTAAGTTTCCCCAATAGAACAAGTCCAAATATCTTGAGTTCAGGTTCAATACCGTCCACTTACTTCAGCGACAACTCTACACCAAAAGGATGACATTTTCCGCAGGGTTTTCAAGCTTCCAATTGCTTCAGAGAGCTTAACAACAAAACTTTCAGCTGGAGCACCATGAATATCTCTAGTCAGAGATGAGACAGTGATAAATTCTCCTTCGCCAAGGTCACCTTTCCTCCCAGGAAAATGTCCTTCTGTGGGTATCATGCAAATATTATGATGGAAATAAAAAATGTTACACAGCAATGCAAAAGCTGAATACAAAGACTAGAAAATGCTAAGGCAAGACAAACTGATAAATCAGCAAAGCAGTCATCTACCTGCATCTAGTAGTGACTTGATCAGAGAGACTACTTTCTCATCCGACCCAAACTCATTGATGAACTTATCATCCTTTTCCCGTAGTACTAAAGACTTCATTGCTGAGAAGCCCAACGCAGCCCTCTCTCTCACAGGTGAAGAGTCTCTTGATGAAGCCTGGAGATCCTTCAATGAATTATATTTCTTAGCGGCCCTGGAAAAGAAGTGCCAAAGAAATTAAAACGTTATAACACTTTTAGGTCCAATAACATTATCATTTGTTTGTCTATTGACTTAATCAAGGTGTGCCAAGTTTGCATCAAGAAGTCGGAAGAGTATCCTCCTTTTCGCATACAAAATGAGGAAAAGCCAAAGAAGCAAAGATAACAGGCAGTCCAGTATTTGTCCTGTCCAGGACTTAAGTGTATAAGAAAATATATTCCATGGTTTGTTATGCACATTAAGAATTCACATCCCAACCTCAGTAGCTATATCAAATTACAAGGACCAAGCACCTGTATGAATAAGAGGTGCTGATATAACAAGTAGAGCTTTCCTTGTTTTGCAATCCTAGTACAGTAGTACTAAAATCAAACTTCAAAACCGGTGAAACAAAATACTCAAAACTGAAAGTACAGCAAAAGTGGTGAAGTGAAATCTTACTCAACAGCTACTGCAAGCTGTCTCATAATAGCTGTAGCAGGAATAATGTCTTCATTTGAGATATTCGAATCTTCAGCCAATGAATTCATCTTTGAGTCCTGAAAATACAGACTGATACATAAATGACCTGGTCGTGGCCAAAACTCCAGTGTTTTGGCAACAGCTAAGGGAAGGCCCAGATAATTCCAACTTATCCAAAAATACTGTAATAATCCAATCTTTTCAAATAAAACAAGAATGTAGTCATTTGCATCTTGACATTATTTATTACCAAGTTTACTTAATTGATTCATTGCAGTCCACCCATCTTTGGGGTTTCATAAGGCAATTGAATAATTAAAATCTCCATCCTGTCTGATGCTAAAGTTAAGATACAATGCCATTGGTGACAGTATAAACACGTCGCGTAACTTGTTATGTTTTCAACATGTAGCAGTGGCACTGGCCTACACTTATAGAGCTTTTAGCTTATAGAAGACTGACATCTAAGCCTTCAATGCTTTTGAACTGTTGATCATGAGGAGACAAATTCAGATGTTGAGCAGCAATATAAGAATATTAAGATTCTTTTAGCATCTACAAGTAAACCAAGTGAATGAATAACAAGCTCTCCAAATTGCATGTCAGAGCCACAAACTATGATAGCTGGACTCGGGAATGGGTCCCGCCAATACGGCTACTCTAGCGCAAAATGAACAGTCGGACGTGGGTACAGCAGGGAAAGTGAAAAGTCCAGGTATGGTAGCCAATGAACTTTGTGACATTCCCAGCTACGGATGTCAATGTTTGTACAGTCAAAACCTCAAAACTTCAAAATCTTCAACATCAAGTAGACAAGTGACAAAGTTTACATACCTTCACTTCTCTCTCACTTGCGAAGCATATATTCTCATCAAAAAGTGCATAGGCCATTGTTGGATTTTCAGCTTTGTCAGCTTCCTCAGCACCTCTTCTTCCTATCCTTAAGTTTCTAAACCTCTCCTGCCAGTCGTGCTTTGTCTTTATCGGAGCCGGTCTCCTCCTCGAATTCCTTGCATCACTGCTGTTCTGTATCATTCCAGTAACAGATTCAGAAAATGCAAAATGCCTGGTTGAGTTGACAGTTCTTTCATTACAACACAAAACAACCAAAGCCAAATAATTCTAAGATTACCCACATTTACCATATTAATTGGGACCTAAGGACAGAACAATCAAATGGATTTTGGGCAAATTTGACAAGCCATGGCCAAGTTGACTGCCCTTTCAGTTCGATCAAAGGGAATTTTGAAGCTCAAATTTAGGTTATGGTTTCTTTAATCTTCTCTTATTCCCATCAGCAATCAAACAGAACCTGAATTTTCCCATTTTTTTAACCTCAAAACCACCCAAACCAGGGGAGTGTAACAGATTACGATAGTTTCAATAAATTTCAAAATTCAAAAAATTTCCAAAATCAATTATAATGCGAAACAAATTGAATAAACCAATAAAAGAAGAAATGCAATACCTTTGATTCGTCCTTGCTACTCACAGAATCCGGCGTCGAAGCAATCGGCGATTGTCTATCGGAATCTTCCCCTGCTTCAAGTTTTGCGATCGTGTTTTGACCAGAAAATAATTGATTAAATAATAGTGAAAAGGCCGCGAGTTATGGAGTCTAAAAATAGTAAACTGCAATTCATTACAGAAAAATAAAATACACAAAATAGTTGGATTGGGGAATTAACTAATTTATGTACCTCGATCGGCAACGGAATCAGATTTTTTGATGTCCGCAAAGACTTTTTCCGCTTTAGCAGCAGCTGAATGAAAGGCAGTCCTAGCTTTGGACACGAAAGAGGCCTCCATTTTGGTGGGTCGGGACTGCGTAGGTTAAGCTAAGAAATGATGATAGGCTGTAAATTGTGAAGGCATCGTCGAACTAATTTTCAAGTGGGGAAAATCAAGGAGGGAATGAGAAACAAAGCCGAGGGAGCTCACACTCTCACAGGACAGCTATGGAGTATGGACTTGGACTACGGATTCCAGCCTTCGACGTTTAAGTTTGACCTCTCCCTCAATGGCTATAAGTCCACGGGAAAAAATAATGCAGCGGCGGAAGGAGGAATTGACTTTTTTCTTTCAATTGAGATGTTGAGATGGTCCAAAGAAGATTGAGGATATTCGAATTGGCGTTATTGCTTGTCCCAATGCCAATGGAACCCAAAGAAGATTGAATATTTGAATTTGCATTATCACTTGTCAGAATCCTAATGTACAGTTTTATTTTTTTTTTTTTTCGAAACAATTCCTTTTCAAAAAATATACAAGTACAAACAAAGACTCAATGAAACTACACAAGCGGTCATTTAACCACTAAGAAAACATAAATTCCTCATCAAAAGTAATGCCTAAAGCATAAGAACTAAGCTTGGAGCTTAGATGATAGTTATCATTTTGAACTAGACAAAAGGAGCACATATGAAACAAAAGTCTGAGTTGAACAATATCCTCCACCACAGTTGCTAATCTGATATCCCGTGCTTGTTTGGATTGAATAAGGTTGAGGAGCTGCTGATTCTGCACTTGGAATTGGACCACCCTGTGTTGCATTTCAGCAACTTTACACATTGCCAATTTTAGAGTTAATGCTTCATCCAGCAAGAAAGATCCTGAACTGGTTTCACGCATTGCCCAGCCTGTGTGTGTTCTCTGAGCTCCTCCTATTAGACAGATTCCAATGCCTACCCATGGTTCGTGCTTGTCCCTTGTAATTGCAATGCTGAATTGCAGGACACCATGTTGTGAACAAAGCTGTGGATGTTGCAGATGTAGTAGAGCTTCTGTTTCGGTCGTACTCATCCTAGTTTCCAGTCTATCTACTTCTCCCAATTCTAACCATTCCTTTAATGCCTTCTGAATAGCCGTCCATGGCATGTATTTCTTGCCATTGAATTCTGCCCCATTCCTCCCTTTCCATATTTGCCAGAGTATATGGACCGATAGAGCAATATGTTGCCAACTTTGTGGTCCATGTCTAGCTTCAATGATGGATGTCCACCATCTTCTAAAACAGCCATGTTGTTCCAATATGCCTTCCCATTGGATTGGGGCTAACTTTCATGTCATTTTTGCATCCACACAATTCAAAAATGTATGTTCAATCGTCTCCCTTTCCTCTCCACATCGCATGCAAATAGGGTCTCCAGCTTTGATTCTACCATAGATGATATCTCTGACCGGGAGAGCATTGTTTAGACATTTCCAGAGAAATATTTTCTGTTTATGCTTAATCTTTAAGCTCCACAATTGCTTCCAAATCTTCTTAGACTGATGCTCCCAACTAGTAGTGCTGTCATTCTGATTTGTTTTCTGCTTGGTTTCCTTGCTAGCCATCGGCACCTTATACCCTGAATTGACAGAGTAATTCCCATCCACACCATGTAACCAAAAATGAGAATCTTCCCTGCCAGCTAGACTGATTGGGATACTCAAAATTCTGTCCGCGTCTTTGGTGTTAAAAGTTTGGAAAACCAAATTGCGGTTCCATCTTCTTTGGCAAATCAAATCTGCTTCTTTCTGCAGTCCACCATCCATAGCTCTGCAAGTAGTTACTCTCCCATTTATTGTGTCCGGAAGCCAGCTATCTTCCCAGATATGTGTATTCTTTCCATTACCAATCCGTCTTCTAGTGCCTTGTTCCACCACGTGTCTTGCACTCATCAGACTTCTCCATAACCATGAGGCATTATTGGGGACTTTACACCTGAATATTGAAGTTCTGGAGTAGTACTTAGCCCGCATTACTTGGCTAACTAACAGGTTGGGTTGAGTAATCAAACGTCATACCTGTTTACCCAGTAGTGCAGTGTTAAAGGCCTCTAAATCCTTGAATCCTAACCCCCCTTGTCCTTCTCCTGAGTGATCTTTCTCCAGGAACACTAATGAATTTTATTATTTCCATTGATGTCTCCTCGCCAAAAGTTTGACATGAGTGAGCTGATTTCCTTGCACAATCTGGCCGGCACCTTGAAGCATGACATAGTATAAGTAGGCATAGCTTGAGCCACTGATTTAAGTAATATTTCCTTGCCTGCCGTACTTAGAAACTTGTTCTTCCACTAGAGCACTCTCTGTTGTATGTTCGACTTAACAAAACCAAAAAGCTGTTGTTTTGTTCTCGAAACTACCATTGGCAATTCAAGGTACTTGCCTTGACAGACTCTTTGCATATTCCCCATGGTTCGGCAAATCTGAAGCATCAAACCTGGTTGCACGTTCTTGCTGAATAGAATGGAAGACTTTTCCAGGTTAATCACTTGACCAGACGCCAAGCCATAGACATCTAGTACTCTCATTAACTCCTTTGTTTGATCCTGATTTGCTTTGCAAAAAATTAAGGAATCATCCGCAAAGAAAATGTGAGTTATACTAGGTCCCCTTCTACTTATATTCATCCCTGACAACATCCTATTAGCCTTAGCCTTCCTAAGCAGGTTGGATAATCCCTCTAAACAAATTAGAAATAGATAAGGGGATAGAGGGTCCCTTGTCTAATTCCTCTCTTAGGGATGACATACCCTTTAACCTCCCCATTAATATTAAAAGAGAAGGAAACAGAATTTAGGCACTGCATTATCCAATTTATCCATGTACTGTGAAATCCCATCTTATGCATCATTGCTTCCAAAAAACTCCACTCCACGCGGTCGTAGGCTTTAGACATGTCAAGCTTAACTGCCATAAACCCCTCCTTGCCATGTCGCATGTTTTTTAAATAATACAAATATTCATGAGAAACCATAATGTTGTCAAGAATTTGCCTACCAGAAATGAAAGCATATTGATTTTTGCAAATGCAACAATGCAAGACACTTTTAATCCTATTGGCTAAGATTTTAGCTATGATCTTGTACATAGTAGTACAGAGACTAATGGGTCTAAACTGCTTCAAGGATGTAGGGTTTAGTACTTTGGGAATAAGAGTAATCACTGTGTGATTAACACTCTTTAAAAGGTAACCAGTATGAAAAAAAGTATGGAAAGTTGGGTGACAATTTTACTAGCCTCACCTTAAGTTTTATAAATTACAATAACCTCATTTGTTACAATAAAATGACTACAATGACCTTCACTTAATAAATAATTCACAGTATAATGGCTATCTTGTTTATAAATTACAGCCAACGACGATTCTCTCTCACGTACTGTCATTTCGTTATCATCTATCAACCCCTTCATCCTATAACTTGCTCTCAAATTATCACCAACCATTGCCTATAACTGCAGCCAATCACACTATAAGTGATCCCCCAAATTCTACTAAATATTTCTATTCCTCCTTTCTTTTTTTTGAAATTGTCAAATCACAAGTTTAGTTAAGAGATTAGATTTGATAGATTAGATTTGATGGTTGAAGTAAAATATGATTTTAGGATCAAACTAAAAAGAGATGAAGAGGCACACAATAATAATGGAACAAATAATGCAATCATTGGCCAAAAGAAGAAAAGGGACTGAAATTGGTAAATTTGCTAATTTGTCTATCATCCATCCAAAAAACTTTTTAAGATGTTAATAAGTACATTTATATTTCTTTTGATGATTGACAATTGTTGATTATAGTTTTGCTACAGAAATAGAGTTTCTTCTCTGTATTTAAGATGTTAACATGTTTGAAGATTTGATGGTAGACTAGATTAATTTGTTTTGAGAAGGTGTAAGCATTAGGCTTGAAGTTATGGTGTGATTAGTTGTAAATAAAGTTTTAATTTTTGGCAAAATAAATTTCTTGAAAATCTCTATAGTCATAATGCTGCCTTTCTTCTTTTAAATTTGATTAATTCCATCCATACCTAAATCTCCCCTAAGGATTTTCTTCAAAGCCATAATGTGGCTCATATAGTAAGAGTTGAACCACTTATATGGAATCAAACCATGGTATCTTATGTTGAAAATTATGCAAATATAATGACAGTTGATTGTGAGTTTGACTATTTCATGGAATCATATGATAAGAATATTTATGAAAGATGAAACGAATCTTCAAAATTGAATGCATGCTTTGAGAGAAGCAATTCTATGATTATGATGATGGAATTACTTGGGTTTAGCATTTGAAATTAGACTATTTGTTAGGCTAATTTGTTAGTATAGTGGATTTGGTTGAAATACGGAAGAAAGCAATTGGCAAAATAATTTTTTTTTAAATTTTTGTACAAAAAGGGTAGTTTAGGATTTTTGAGAAAAAAAAATAGTCTTTTGGATCTATATTGTTATAAAACAGTAAAAGCAAGAGAGGTGGGTGTAATTTAATAAATTTGAGGGGAGCTCTCTGCAATTGTTAAAAATCCCATGAGAGGTTTCTGAAATTATCCTAATTTATTAGACAAAATTTGCTTCAAAAGTAAGTGATAAACTATTCACTTATCCCTTGTTTTAATATACACTCAAATGTATCAAATTTTAGTACTTAACAATTCCTTAATTTAATAGATTCAAATTTTCATACTTCAATTTTTAAACTCCTGTTTTATCAAGCACAACCTAAGATTTAGAGATTTATATATTTGTTTCAGTACTTAAAATTCGACAAATTATGTTTCACTATTCAAATTTCAGATTAACGGAACCTCAAACGGAACGGAATCTCATGACCCTCACTTGTCTAACAATCTATTTCGATTCTTTTTCCTTCGAGCATTTGAATTATCAGCAGTAAGAAGCCTACAGCTTCGAAAACCCTTCTCAGGTTTCAAAACCAAAACCCTTAAAGCTGAGGGGATGAAAAAAGAATGAATGAAACAGTGAGTCAAAATTCAAGGGAAAAAATAGTAAAAGCAGACCAAATCTGAGGAACAAATGAGGCAAAGAAATCATCGTTTTGCCGGAATCATCCACCATTACTGTGTCAAATATCATCAGAAAAAAAATAGTGTAAATCCCGTTCTACCTGTAACTCCAAAAGCTGTAACTTCTGTTTCTTTCTTATGCATATAATTTTGTCGACAGTTTAGATTCTTTATTGAAGTATTTTAGTCGAACTATTTTGCTGGTCTGTGACTTTTAGTTGAGATTTGGTATTGAATTGGTACTGTTGTTGTTGTGCTGAATTCATATGAGCAAGTTTTGGGTTTGCCTATATTGGGTTAGGATGGAGAATTTGTGATCCTGTAAAT